GTTTCAAGCTAATCATAATAAATTGAAGTCAAATGCCGAGAAATAGACTTTTTCTCCGTATGTATATACGTTGTCCAGGGTGCATCACGTGGAGATAAGTCTATCGGATTACGTAAAGGTAATATTGATCAGTTCATTTACTGGAAGATGTACATTGAGTTTAATTGCTCATCGATATTGTATTGCTACCCTTTTCACATAACTTTATTTTCAAGAAGTAAACGTGCTCTATTTAATTCAGTTGTTTGTATATATGGAAGACTTTCTCACCATTACGTCTGTCAACCTTGAATACGGGAAAATATACGAGAGTGCTCAGCATAATTTAAATGGTTTCTAGACCACTTTCCGATTTCCTATCTCTAAGGTGACGAAAATTGTAGACCAGCAGATTTCAACGTTCAAGAAGTATTTTACTAACCATTAGCATCTGAATGCATTTATAACCAACAACCGAGTTTAATTCAATTGATGATTAAAGATGGTTTTATGCTCCAAGCATGGTTTAAAAATACTATGCATTTAATTCTATACTTTCTAATTCTTTTCTTTTAAACATCCAAAACTATTTGAATCACGTTGTTATTCGTGATTTCTTTAAATAATTCAAACTCGACTGCGCTGTTGCATGAAACTCCGTCATTAATTACAAATAATTAAGAGTTTATTGATATATATTTTACTGTCACAGTTTAAGCCGATTTTATAAATTCAGAATTCAAGTTTATTATTTTTGATTTTAAAAATTTTATTTATTTGCGAAATTCACACGAGCTCACGCGATGCCACACGCACATTAGTGCATTAGCTGGCTATTAAAACAATATATAGCTTTAAATTTACTTCACTTTAGGAGACGAAACATCATCAGCCCGGTAGTAGAAAATTCCTTACTCACCAAGTCAAAATTCAATTCCATGCCAACACACAGTTGTCGTCAAATGCATGAGAACAATCAAATAATACAGTATTTATTTATTTATAAAAAAATGGCAGGCGTTTTGATAGTTATCATTAGCCCTTTAGTTGACTTCGGGCTTCACAGAGGGGAGGAGGAACATCAAAGTGAGAAGAATTCAGGAGGAGGAATAGAAGGGTGTTTCAAAGATGTAAAAGAAACAGACGCAAAGGCTCAGAAAGGGTAAGATGAGTAGTAGTAGGGGTCGAATATGACATACAGTGGGGGTGCTGGTTGTTTTAAGTGAGAAATCAACTGTCGAGTAATAGACTTTTTTGCCGCATGAGTAAACGTTGTCCAGGGTGCACCACGTGGAGGTAAGTCTATCGCAAGTTGCCCAGGGTGCACCACGTGGAGGTAAGTCTATCGCACGCTGTCCAGGGTGCACCACGTGGAGGTAAGTCTATCGCACACACCCCTCCGCTTCCAAATAAGATGTTGATAGTGAAGGCATATTTCCAGGGTGCACCACGTGGAGGTAAGTCTATCGCACACCCACTTGGCTCTCCCCTCAAATTTCAACCCTACACGGATGGGCTCAAATAATGCAGTTTGTTCTGGAAATTGAACTTTCATTTCATAATATATGTCACAATGCAATGTCACACATATTATTATTGATAGTTTTCGTAATAAGACAAAGCATTTTTCACATCTTGATCGACGGAAACTCCTAGATTAAATCAATCATTGAAAAAGCGAAATATATGAGGAGATTAAACTCGAAATGTCACGAAACTTCTAGAATTAACTCCAGGTCCTTCAGGTCATCCCCTATTTAGGTCATGTTTGAACTGAGTTTGACTTCAGTTGATAAAAGTGAGGGCTTGGTTATGCAATCTCAATGCACCATGGAATGTGCTGGAACACATACGCAAAGTAAACGGGATTTTGAAAATTTTGTGCAGTTCACATTCAACCCCTAAAACAAATGTAAAGTCGAGCGCAAGTGATGTAAATAATATGACATTCAGATTCACCATCGTCCCGGTTTAGTTTACCCAACGAAAACGGTACTCCTATATCTCCTTTAGGAAGTTGATTAAACAAAATCAGTTGTCACTACATCAAATGGGCCTAATAGCACTCATAATGTGGAGCTCAAATATTTCAAATTACGCTTCAGAGCGTCAACTAGGAATGGTAAAGAGAACTGTGAAATTTAGGTCGAAAATTGGGGCAGAAAATTAGCAAACATTTCGTACTGTTTAATAAGATAAATTACAGCGTTGCAGAGTCTCCTAATATGCAATATGGTAAGCAAAGTCAACATCATCTTCAATTGGGATAAAAGCGTCCATGTGGTTAATTGATTGGCATATTTCAAATCACTCCATGTAACCTCATTTATTTGGAATTAAGTGCAATAGGCGGCTTCGAAATTTCATCAAACAGCATATTTCACCTTCTCGTAGTCTCTAATCATGGCGGTTGTGTGAAGTAGTGACGATAGGTCATAAAGACCAGCCCACCTCAACGCGGAGTCCTGGGTATTTTGCCTTTCAATAATACGCGAGTCTACTGCGTGATTAGTACTAGTGTAAAAATGAATCTGTCAGAATCTATGAGTAAATTTTAACTAGTGCTGACAACGGGCTGACACCCCAGGGTGAAAGAGCATGACTGAATATTTGAAAGCAGAGAAAGTACTTTCTGGCCTACCAATTGTCGCGTGTGTATAAGGGAAAGGAAGCTGGATGTGGGCCGATTCTGCCTGTTGACAGTTGGAAAATTTTGACGAGGAACTGTCATCATAATTATTTCACAAGCCTCCTTTGCTTAAAGTGAACTTGTAATGGGAAAATGAGGCAAATTAATTGGCCAATTATTAAAGCAGCTTATTTTTTCCTTTCTATGAATCTGATCCTTGATCCTTCTTCTTCCTGAAAGTAGACTATTCACAACCTCATTTTGCTCCTTTCTGTGCTATTTCTTTTCAATTTCCATTCAATATGCTATACATCTTAACTTGTAGCTTTTAAGTCTACCTTATTCACTTTCTTTAATTTTTCATTAATTTGGTAAATGCGCTTTCATACCGGCTAAAATGAACCTGTGTGTATCAGGTTAATTGGTGGAAATCTGCTGTAACCCACTTTCCGTGATAAGAGTGAAACCCACTGGAAGTTAAAGCCCGATGCGCTGAATGGCTATAAATTTGTATACTGGTAAACACTGAAAAAGTTAGTATTATTGTTATCTAGTTACAGATATCATTGAGTAATTTTCAAAGCACCAACTACAATTCGGTCAAATTATAGCAAAATGTTAAGGCGATCTTGGAATCGATCACTCTTGCGCTTACCCACAGAATCCAATTTGATCACGTAATTGACCATCTTTCCTATTGATTCATTAATACTCCATATTTAGCATTCCCACTCCCAATAAATTTGCACTGATTGTTTTAAATATTGTGGCTTCTTCACTTCATTTCCCATTAAGAATTGTATTTTAAAACAAAAAATTTGTTGTGGAACTATTTTTCTACTTTGTTGGAGAAAGTTGAAAAAATTTGTCCACTTATCAATTACTATGCATATACTACACAGTATATTATCATTATAGTAAGAAAATACATTTGTATAATTGCCATTCCTAACATTTGATTTAAAGAAGACAAGAATAAAAATTGTTTTTCATAAATAATCTCTTTTTTATTAATTTGTGCATGTTTATTACAGTACAAAAACAGGATGGATTTAGAGTCGTTTAAATTTTGTTTCATTATATCTAGAGAAGTGGCCTTTTAGGAAATATTGGCTGAGGCTTTCGCGTGTGTTAAAGTTCACCTTCCTTTTGTCCTCTTGTTAAACTTCCCAAACTTCCCTTCGTTTCAGACGTTAGCATTATGTGTTTTTTTCAAACCACCATTTAAACCTTTTCTGGTTGTTCCTAATTTATGTTGCAGAAAAATATGGACATGAGACCTTTTCAGTAACTCAGGCGGTATTAGTCTTATAAGATTTGTTTATTCAAATAGCCTAGATATTAAAAAACAACACTTTAGCTAACTTTTTTCAATTGATATTATTTAGTCAAATAGTTTTTAGGAAACAATAATTATTAAATTATATGCACCATTTGATATTTTGAATTAGTGGTTTTAATGTTTGTTTTAAATTTTTGTATTAAAGAACATCAAGGATGGCAAGCTGAAAACGCGAGTCCTATTACCTACTTATGGAGAGCTTTGGCCAATTGGATTGGTGGAGTGGGTATCGCAAGCCCATTGGTTGTGAGCCATTTTCTTGTGATCGCCCTTTGTATAGCTGTTGGAATGTACGGTCTAATGAATGTCTTCCAAGCCTTCGGAAGTCTCTGCCTTCGACTAAGTCCAGGAGAACCTTGTCTTGGTGATAGCAATGTTTATCTCATCTCCGCGGTTCCGCCGCCAATTGAAAGGAAGTTTAGACCGTTGACACCGATCCAAACTTCTAGGGTATTTTCGGTATCTGGCAATGCCAATCCTCCTTCACCTCCCTCCCTTCCCATCTCTTCCTCTAATTTACCTCTTGATGATCTAAAATTTGTCGAGACTGCCGCCTTTGTTAGTGACGGTGCCCTTGGCAATACCCAACAGTATGTACTTCTTTCTAATTCTTTTCACCAGCCGGAGGGAACCGCGTATGTTCTTTCTGCGGAACCCTCTCGGAGGTTTTGCGCCAGCAGCTCTGAACATGCTGGTGTTTGAATTATTCCACGGTTTTATTTATGAAAAAAACACTAGTTATTTGCGATTTCGTCTTTTGTTTATAAATTTCTTAATTTTTATTTGTAAGATATACCTGGCCTACACTGTTTTATCTTGGCGACGTTAATTCTACTCCTACGTTGTCTGATTTGTTCCATTTTCTAACTTCATATGAATTGTCTGATTGAGCGCAGATTGTTTATTCTTTAAGAGAACCAACTGCCAATTATTAAGTGTTCCTAATCACCATCAGTAGTTAATTAGCCTTCTCAAAATGTAAAAGCAGGGTTTGAGTCGAATTCAAAAATGTATCAATCAGAATGCGAAGGGAGTGGAGTTAAAGGTTAGAGTAGAGCAGTAGCGAATGTAAAAAGCAAGCAATCGATAAGTGGATCATAATATTTACTCAAATCCTTTCATATGTTGTGCCGTAGTACTTTTAAGAAACCTGTATAAACTGTAACCTTGACCATATGTCAGGAAAATTTCAACAATGAATATTCATATGTTTACACAATAATATCGTAGTTTTAATTTTCTTACGGATGAATATGTACAACCAAGCTAATCTTAAAAAAACTTAATCTTATGGTAAAATTTACCACGAGAGTGCATATGTGTGACTTCAATTTAAATATTGTATTTAAATAAATAAATATTTTATTTAAAACACGACCGCATAAACGAGAGTTAGATGAGGAGCCTCTACGCTGGCTTCATTCCCACCGCGTTGGTACTGACACTGTAAACCAAGAAATTCGTAATAAGGTGTTGTTCTCTACCTGATTGAATTATAACCCAATAATCTTGTGGTATAGTTTCTCCTCATCTATCCTGTTGCGCTTGAGCAGGATATTTTTGCTGGTTGTCTGCCTTCAAGCAGAGAATATCGATTTGAGGAGATATTCTATCGGATGGACTGAAAGTTTGTGCCCGCTGTCTTTAAATCCTACTTGAAATAAGGATACTTGATTGCTCTTTCACGAGGGCAGGCACTTGACTGATTGATTTTGTTAATCTTTATTTGCTCAGCAATAATTGGGTTCGTAAAATGTGATGAAGAAGATAGTTATCAGCTATTTTGAAACTGCATCCAACTCCTGTATTATCGCGCGCAGTAAATAACTTGTATGATTCCTCACTCAAAAACGCCAAGGAACGAAGTATAAGTAGGCAAACATATCTAAACTTCGAAGTACGTTATCAGTCGACTAAGCTGGCGTAAAAAACGCCTGAGATGCACTCAGACTCGATCCTACGTTGATTTAGTTGGCAAGGCGGTTACTTTACCTCACTTTTCCATATTCTGGAACACAATTCATTCTTTATTACTCTTATTGATCTTAACACGCCTTTCATTCACCTTATCTCTTGCTATGCAATGCTCTCTGATAAATTCTTACATTTCCTATACAGTCTTTTAGCGACGATTTATTTATATCAAATGGCAGGCGTTTAGATAGTTATCATTAGCCCCTTAGTTGACTTCAGGCTTCACAGAGAGGATGGGGAACATCAAAGTGAAAAGAGTCAAGAGGGGGGGGGAAAGAAGAGTGTTACAAAAATGTAAAAGAGACAGACACAAAGGTAGAGAAAAAGGTAAGATGAGTACTGTGAAAAGGGTCGAATATGACATACAGTGGGATGATGGTAGTTCAGAAGGGGTCGAATATGACAACCAGGGCGGTCGTGGTAGTTAAGTGGTCGAATATGACATACAGTGGGGTCATGGTAGTGTGTAAGGGGTCGAATATGACAACCAGGGGAGTCGTGGTAGTTTGGTGGTCGAATATGGCATACAGTGGGGTCATGGGGCCGTATGAGGACACAAAGGTAGAGAAAAAGGTAAGATGAGTACTGTGAAAAGGGTCGAATATGACAAGCAGTCGGGCTATGGTAATTTGAAGTGAGAAGTCAAGTGCCGGTTAATTGACTTTTATGCCGTATGAGAATACGTTGCCCAGGGGGCACCACGTGGAGGTAAGTCCATCGCGCACCCTCTTTTAGCAATGATAGTTTGGAGATTCTGGATGAGTATTGAAGCCTTGCTCAATGGGTGGGAATATATACTATATATACTATATATATATATATATATATATAAGTAGCATGTGTTTTCCCAGGTCTTACTTGGTACTGCCATCCTATTGGCGATGATATGGCACAGTTCGAGAGTAGATAGACCGACTGACTGATAGACAGTAGGAAAAAAATTTAAGTGAGTTGTCGATCGGGCGCTTGGCCTTAATTTTATCCCTACGCGTATTAAGCCATAAAATTCTGCATTCCCCATCTCCCTATCCCTGCTAAGGCAATATTTACCTAGTTTCTCTATAGATATGTCTCATTATCATTAGAGAAATATTAATTAATTATGCTTATATTCCCTTAGATCTGTGAAATACATTTTTGATTTGAAATTGCGTGTATACAGGTAGTTCATCTGTTTCTTCGTTTTCGAATATTTCCATTGAGTGTAGATTCTACTTTGGTTATATGAAAGGCGCCGATTGAGGTGGACTTAAAATGGAAAATATTCATTTCTTCTAGGCACCTTGTTTTAGGCTAGAATCATAGATCCTAACAACAGAGGGATGGGTGCCTTGGGTGGGTGGGAAGGGGGGTGTTGGGGTTGAGGAGGTACTACTAGGTACGAGCATTCATATGTACCGTGAGTATCATAACATAGTAATATATTTAGAAGACGTGAGTCACATACTGCTAGAATATTCGGAAAATTGATACACTGAAGATGAAAAAAATTTCCATGGGAAATGAAACAAATTGTAACTGTCTATCTCGAACTTGAGCAC